GAAGCATATTCCATTCATTTCTTTGTAAACGATGTATCGTTCCCTATCAAGACTTGCGTTAGATAATGCGTTCGCGTCCTCCGTGGCTTGGCGAAGGAATATCTCTATAGCATGTTCATCCTACTTTCATATATAATATACTTGATAATGTAATTTTATGATTTTCAGAATTAAAAATACGATCCTAATGTGCTTTCTTACTTCTATGATTCTTAAACTTTGTGATCTTGTTCAACTCTTTAATTGCCAGTTTGTCTGGAACCACCAACACAAAAAAAAAACTACTAACCATCAACAACTTCTTCCTTAAAAGTGCAAACAACTGTTACTTTTTTTGATCCGTTAATAATCTGAACCTACATCGTTCTATTATTTATGGACATAAGTCCATAAAAAATCAAAGTATAAAATTTTGCAATAACCTTTCCTGTGATCTAAAAGCTATCCAATCAAACTATGTTTACCATATTATATTCTTCTATTATCTTATATTGTCAGTAATTTTGCCTCTTTATCAGCTTATTTTGTGATGAATTTGATATTATAAAAAAGCTTTTTTTTTTTTTGCATTGAAAGTACCATCAAACTTCTTTAAAAATGTAAGCTATTTTAAGTTATCAACATAATTTTAATAATTTAATATTTTTTTTTTAAAACTTAAGGAATATGATGAGTGTGTTGACAGAAAAATTGTTTAAAAACCCTTCATAACAAAAAAATATATATATAACTTGTAGTTCTCAAAAGGGTTATAAGGGGATAAGCAAATTAGGTAAATAATAATTGATTCTTAACAAGCATAAAATGTAGATATAGGCATACCGTATTTTAACACAAATGCTTGATTATCCAAGAATACCAAGAAACAAAGTCTAGTTTTTATCAATGCATTTTTAAACAGCTTTTTCTTGTATTAACTTTCTGCCTTCTTTTCTTGTATCCAAGGAATTTTGTGAAACTGAAAATTCTGCATTCAGTTTGCATTTTTTGGAGTGCTATCTTCTCGTGAATTTAGCAACATTTTGAACTTAGCAATGCTATATTTTAGGTTTAAGAAATATTAAACACAAATTGAGCAGGGTGTATGTAAAAGTGGAAGTCCAAATTTAATTTTTCATATTTAAAACTTTTTCTTGCCTTATTTATAATTCAAAAATTTAACTTAATGTATACTTGTTTTTACTAAGAATCTTTGAAACCTGATTTGAATTCGAATTTCTTATTAAGTTATATATCAAATTATAATCTTATAAGTCAAATATATCTTATAAGTAAAAACTTAATTTAACCTATAATTATTAATATAATTATTTTGAATGTTTTTAAATAATCTTCAGTCTATTGTTGTTTTGACAAAATCTAAACATGTTGTTGAAGCTTATTAAAGTAAGTCTTTGGTCCCTGAAGCTGAATTCAATTCTGATTTGAATTTAAATTTCTTATTAAGTTATATATCAATTATCAATTGTCTGGAAAGCGAGTTGAAAAGTTGATTATTTGAGATAGAGATTGAGAAAGACAAAAGCTGAGAGCCTTAACGCCAGCAGAGTCACTGACACTAGAGCCAAGCCATTCAGTTAATGAGCATTAAAGTCACCAGCAACTAAAGTATTGGCTGATGGATAAAGAAAGAGGGCTTGGTCAATTTGATCAGAAATAACATCGAAAAGGAGAGTACTATGTAACAAAAAGAAAGATAATAGAGTAAAGTGGTGCTAAACGAAAGCACATAAGTAATCTCATTATATTCTCATGATGATGTCACAACTACAGTTAAGTGTTATTAACTATGGTTCTGATATCAGTATGAGATCGTAATTAGATAATTATAGTGGGTTAGAATTTCGATACAACCAGGAATAAAATACTATGAAGCTGAAACTTTTTACAATTGATTTTTACAATTGATTATCTCTTTTCTCTGTATAGCTCTGTACTAAATAAAATGTTAAAAAAAAAATAGTCTCTATACAATTATACTACTAGTAATACTATATATATAGTATTACTAGTGTATACTAGTAATTATAGTAACTATGTTATTTTTTTAGTGTTAATATAAGCTAATTATGTTTTTACATAGTGAAAAATAAGTAAAATTTATTGTGAATGGCAGTTTAGAAAAATGTTATTTATTTTAAAGTTTAAGCAAAAAAAAATGTTTTTAAATTTTCAAAACACTTTTTGAGTTAAAAACAAAAAGTTACTATAAAATTCAACCACTGATTGATTCAACATATAAATCAAAAAAGTTTTTAAAGGTTAAGTAAATAGCATTCTTTAAGTAGAATTCAAAATAATTTTAAAAAGTAAAAAACTAAAAGTCAAAGTCTTACCACAGTTTTAATAACTTTTAATTTGATTGAAAATTTAAATGGAACTTCAAGATTCATTTAATTAAAAAACATTTACATATTAATAATTGTCTTTAATTAAATATTAATAGTATAATGTTATTAACAATATTTATTAATAAATATTGTAACAATTATTATTAATAATATTATTAAAGTTATTAATATTATTAATACAAGTATTATTAATTTTTTTTTCTCAAGACAAATTTTTAATTATAATTTTTATTTTAATATAAATTGATACATACCAATGTTATCAATATTTGTTACCATTATGTTAACTAGTCGTATTTGTTTATATGAATGTTTTACATTCATATAAACAAATAAAAAATTTTTTTGCTGTAAGATTTTAAAAATCTTACAGTAAAAAAAAAATTCTAGCTACATTCTTTTTTTGAAAAAATGTGTCTAAAAAAATATGTATATGTAATAAAAGTGTATATATATCTAAAAAAAAATTTTTTTTCAAGAGTTTATACTTAGGTAGAAAAACGCATGGTAAGTTTAAAAATGCATGGTAATTTTATTTATGGGAAATATTAAATCTGTCTTTGAAATCACAAATTTTATGCGATCTTTTTCAATTATTGCGCATTATGGTAACTTTTCAGATATTTTCTAAGTTTTTAGAAGTTTTAAAAAAACTTCTTAAATTATTATTAAAATTATTTTATTGTTATATTTATTTTTCTTGGTGTTGTTGCTTTTTCCTCCATATTTGCTTTTGTAGTTGTTCAAGGATAAAAACAAAAGCTGTCTATCTTTTCATTTCTAGCAATATCATTGTTGTTCTTTATGAGCTTAACAATTCTTTCAGAGTAATCATGAAACAGAGCAATTGTAACTAACAGCATGATGAAAAATAGCATCTTGAAAATTTAGTTAGAAGTCATTGCAAGCGAAATATTCGAAGGGATGAGATCCATCGACAGTCGTTGAAAATACAGAAAACAAGTTTTACAGAAAATATAACAATATACATGTTTATTATTTTATATCAACTATTTGATAGAAATAGTATATATAAATTTCAAAATTAACAACTTCAAGTTTCAACAAATTAAAAAGAATCATCAATACAACATATTCAATCCGAAAAAACATCAAGACCATTTATAAGTGTGATTGCACCACCAACTGTGTCTGTAGAACCAGGTAAACATCAAACAAAGTACCATTCACATTTTGATATTCATTATTGTTTTCACCACAGTTCGTATCATTGTGTATTTCACTAATCTAGACAATATATACTTTTTCACTAATCTAGACAATATATACATATAATATATACATACTAACTAATTTTTTTTATTTACTAATTCATTTATACTTATAATTAGTATCAATTATAACTTACTTTATAATTATACATTAACACACAACTTTTTGAACATTCTATGTAAATGTTGCCAAACGTTGCAAATTTCTGTGAAGTCTTATCAATTGAGGACCTTAATGTTGACTCTTATTTGAGCTTATGGATATTCTTTATTCACATTTTTCATTAGCTAAGGTTATAGCACAATATTATGCAATATCACAATAATATTATGCAATAGCACAATAATATTATGCAATAGCACAAGAAACTGTGTGAATAGCGTAGAATGATGTAAAATGTGGTACCTAATTTGTAGCAATTTATTCTCGGAATTTTTTTTTCTTGTTTTCTAGCAATCAGTAAGTTCTATAGAGTTTGCTGATTGCTTGATTCTATAGTAATTGCTACATAGTACATGTTAAAATTACAAAGGTATGTATATTTTTTGTGAAATAAAAAGTAATATCTTACTTTTTTTTACACAAAAAATATACATGCCAATGTACATTTAATTATACCTGTATATTCTGATATACAAAAAATATACATACTTATGTACATTTAATTATACCTTTATATTCTGATATACTTTCATTTTTGGGTAGGATTACAAGGAAGTGCTTCATTAAGCTTACATGCTTTCTGAGGGCAAGTACAAGTTTTGTACTCTCTAGCAGTCCACCATGCTCCACTTCCACTCCACAGTCCACCATGCACCATGTCTACTTCATGGAAAAAAGTAGGGATTTGAAGCTTTATGGCAAAAGGAAAGATATGTAAAAAATTTATTTTTTGATATCTACTACCTTAAAGCTCTAGTGTTTGATGGATGAAACAACCAATCAAATCAATGGATGCCAATCTTACAAAACAATTAACACATGAGATTAATGAAGTGACAACTTTTGTGCCTGCTTTCTAAACTACTGGTTTCTAAAAGCTTAACTAACCTCTGTTGCTCTATGTCAAGTAAGTATCAACTTAAAAAATATGAAATGCGTAAATATAGAATATATTTGTTCCAGTATGAAAAAAATGATTTTGATAATTAATAAAGCATATTTTTTTCTAAACAAATAATTTAACAATTTTTTCTTTCATCCAGGATCTCTTTTTTTCTTTAATCTCAGGATCATCCAGAGCTCTTCAGCAAACAAATAGGTATAAGAAGTAAAATCAGATTTAAGAATAATATAAATAATTGATAATAAATAAATTAATAAATTATTAAGAGTTCGCTGGTTACAACAAAAACAGTTCACTGGTTACAACACAAAGAGTTCACTGGTTACAACACAAAGAGTTCACTGGTTACAACACAAAAAATAAACAAGACAACAGTGTTATGAATATTAAATCTATCAATCAACACACAAGCTTTAAATTTATCAAACAACACACATAGTTTCTGGACCCTTACCTTATTGTGCTAGCCTTAACTAATGAAAAATGTGAAGAAAAAAGTGAAATTGCTCAAAAACTATGGGTGAATATCCATCAACCTAAATGAGAGAAAACATAGAGGTTCTCAATTCTTTAAATTTCAGTAGATCGAAGTTGCCAAGCTAAGTTTTGGCTATCATATGTTCCTTATGATAGCCAAAAGTAAAAGTGGCTGTCAATGGTTGAACTCCTTTCCTCCGCCTCCAAATACTGCAATTGCAAACATTTCTACCTGTAATTTCAGAACGCTATTTTTCATCTTGCTGTTGTTAAAGTTTATTAGGTCTAATGTTAAATTAAGGAGAATTTTATTAATTTGAAATATGATTATAATTTAAAACATATATGTGAACCCTTGATTCTTTTTTTTCCAAAGAGTAATTCTTTGTATTTTTAAACTGGAATTATGTTTTTAAGTTAAAAGTTTACTTTTTTTTTTCTATACCTTTTACTTTAGTTCACTTTTTGTTCAGAGCAAGCATTTGTAAATTTAAATTAAATTATTTATTTGAAATATGTTCAATAAAGTTAAAATTTGAATACATTTTTTTATTTAAACAATTTACTTTAAACCACTTTTTTGTTTCAGTTGTAAACTAGTCAATTTAAAACATTTTTTTTTCCATCTTAAATTTTTTTTCAGGTGGGGGGGGGGGGGGATAATTGAATGTTGACATAATTTTATAGGGGGGTCACTGAAAGTTTGACAAGTTGTTGACAAGGGCAAAGGGGGGAGGTAAAAATTGCCAAAAAATGGAAAGCCCCAAAGAATGAAAAAAAAAGCAAGATCACCCGGAAAAACAAAAACAAAAAAACAATAACTAATTGTCAAAATATTTTTTTTTAAAGAATAATTTAATAAAAAGTTTGTTTTATGAATTCGCTTGATCTTTTACGCAACATATATGTAGTGCTTCTTCTAAAAAACTTCAAAAATATCTGAAAAGTTACCATAATGCACAGTAATTAGAAAAGATTGCATAAAATTTGCAATTTTGTAGACAGATTTACATATAATATTTCCCATCAATAAAATTACCATGCATTTTAATTGGGTTCTTCTATCTAATTAGAAACTCTTAAAAGAAAAAAAGTTTTTTTGAGTTTTAGGACTTGCTCAAGTGTGACAAAAATGGACTTAAAAAGGGTTCAAAAGTCTTAAATATGACTTTTGAGGCACTTGAGCAATCCCTAGAAGTGGTCCTAATTCAAAATAAAAAAAGTTCTACTAACAAAATCTGCGCAGCATATTCTAAGACTCAATGGTACTTTAGATTTTTTCATGACCTCAAAATGAACCAGTCTAATGTATATGTATATATTCATTTATAGAGTGTAAAGTTCGTACTCTTATTATACAAAAACTCAATTCAATCCAAGAGTTTGTTAAATCAAATACACCAAACTGTACTTCAGATGGAAATTTTGCTGATATTCAGTGTGAAAAAAATGGGTATTGTTGGTGTGTTGATCAAGATGGAAATGAAATAGCAGAGACAAAGTTAATCACAAAGCCAAAATGTCCAAGATGTATGTATCTAAATTTATTTTTCTTGTTTTGTTTTTTTGTTTCATTTTTCTAACTATGCAATTTAGACTTAAGGGTTGTTACCCATTCCCTGGTTTAAATAAATTCCTTGCACCTACTTGTGCAACTGCTAAATTTAATTATTTTTTTCATTTTTGTCAAAAGAACAATTCTCTTAAGAATAAATCACTATTTATTGTTGCTAGAAATCAATGTAAAAAGTTGCTGCCTGATTCTAAGCTCCATTATTTTCAGTAAATCTTGTATCTTATCTCAGAAGATAGGCTCCAGAGACTTTAGGAAAATCTTCAACAGCATCATTAACAAGGATAGGTCTAACATTCCATCTCTCATTCATGGGACTGATACTATTACTTTTCCCAAAGATAAGGCAGAACTATTTGAAAAAAACTTTTCTTCTAATTTGACTCTTGAATCTTATGGTCATTTTCTTTCGTCAATTCCAATTAAATAGGTCAGCCTATTGTTAGACATTCAAGTGACTCCAGCTTCCGTTGCTGGAAAATCATATCTTAATTAAACTCTTTTACAGCTTGTGGTCCAGACAACATTCATGTCGTAGCTTACAAAAATTTTTTCCAGAACAATCTTCAACTCTCTCTAAACTATTTAATAAGTGGTTGGCTGAGTCTTGTTTTGCTGCCTGCTGGAAAACAGCATCTGTTGTTCCAATAACCAAAAATTCCGATGAACATTCTGACCCCTTTTATTATTGTTTGATCAGTCTTCTTTCTGTTATTCTTTCTATTATTAGCAAGGTCTTTGAGTCTTTGATCAACAAATTTCTCGCATCCCATCTTGAGTCAAATAACTTACTGTCAGATAACACGGTTTTTGATTCTCTCACTCTACGGTTACTATGGTTACTCTACGGCTGACTAATTGCTAATTGCTGTGACTTAAAGATTTTAACATGCATTAGATGGTAGCAGTGAGGCTAGGGCTATTGCTCTTGATGTATCTAAAGCTTTTGATAAAGTTTGACATGCTGGTCTTCCCCTAAAGCTTGCTTCATATGGTGTATCTGGGAATTTTTTTGAGATTATCAAATCGTTTATTTCTAACTGCTTTATTAAAGTCATCCTTGAAGGCAAATATTCTTCTTCATTTCTATAACTTCTGGGTTACCTCAAGGTTCTATCCTTGGTCCTGTTTTTTTTCTAGTTTTCATTAATGATCTTCCCAATAACCTTACATCTAAAGTAGTTGTTTTTGCTGATGATTCAACTTTATACCTTTGTCTTGACAAAAAATTTTCTTTCTCTTAGAGTTCTAATTAAGATAAATAAAAGAGTTCTAAAAATTCTCTTTCGCTTATAACAGAAAGCCGATTTTAAACCTGATTAATATTGTCAACATTCCTATGTTAATGAATGGCAACCCTCTCACTAAGTCCTCTTTTTTACATCTTGGATTATTGTTTACTACTGACCTTTCATGGAAACCATATATATAATCGATCGCTTTATCTAATGAAGTTGCTTCTCTTTATTGTGCTCACCATTTTCTTACTCCTGATTCCAATCTCTATCTCTACAAATCTCATATTCATTCCTGTATTGAATTCTGTTGTCATGTTTGGGCTGATTCTTTGAAGGGTGCGCTTTCTATTCTAAACAAGATCTAAAAACGCATTGTAAACATAATTGGACCTGCTCTGCTAAGCTTGAGCCTCTTTCCCATCTTTGTAAAATTGCATATTTTTCTTTTTTTACAAATACTATCATGTTTGCTGCTCAGAAGAGCTATCATCTCTTGTTCCATCAACAAAAACTCGTTCTTGTTTGACTTGGCAATCAGCAGTCTTATTTGTTTACTCATATTTAGACTACCTGACAAAAAATTTTATTGTGGTCCATATATGCCAGTTGCACATTGACTATATATGTACCACTCCTCTTTATTAGATGGTATCAGTGCAGTCCATATGTGGCTATACTTATAACAATAAAACCACACTAATTTGAATGAACACCACACTATAATTGTATGAGTAAGTTTCATGAAAGCCACATATGGAAAGCCATATACACTGCGCAACATAATGATAAGACACCCCAAAAATATTTACTATACTCTACTAAAAAACTCTAATATACATTTATATTTAAAAACTAATTTTTATAGTAAATGAGAGTAAAAGGATTATAAGACTAAACAACGTTTAAAAAAAATTATTTTAAACCTAAACTCGCATTTTATTAAAGAAAAACTGTTTTTTTAGTGCAACAAAATAATGACACTTTTGGAAAAAATTCATATAAATTGTCATTTATATAAAAAAATGTCTCAGTTTTAAACAATCAATGTTGGGTACTTTAACCATTTTTTTGAATCGCTTCAATCATTCTAGAAGGTAAAGAATCATACAACTTTTTTATGTATGAAATATCAATTGCATCCCATGGAGATGAGAGGGATGATTTCTATTCAGCTAGTGAACTATATTGTTTATCACTTTCAAAGACTATATGTGACAGATGTGCCCAAGCAATACTACAGGCAAAAGTTGTTAAAAACAAATAAATTTGTATACTGTGTGATGTCACAAAAACTTTTGGCAGTTTTTTTCTAGAATTTATAAAAAATTATATTCAGAAAGAAATTGAATATATATATTCTTAACTCATAGTCAAAAGAGACTTTTAATGTAAAAAAAAGTCTCTTTTGACAACAATTTTGCTACCTCGACAGTTAAGCTACATTTTATTGTTGTCGAAATGTAAAATTTCATTGTTTTTTTCTTTTCTGTATTTCATTATATTCTTGACCTACTAAATCTTCAATGTTATCCAAGAAATTTGTAGGGTGATTTAAATTTGTTACATTTAATTTATTTAGAAGCTCCAACATTATTATTTTTTTTTTAAAATTTGAAGATGTTTCAAAAACTTCCCCTATGGGCACTAGTTTATTTTCTACGTAATGTATATAGTGCAGTAGACTACTTAATTCAGTCCTTTGCTCTTTGATTCTGGAAGCTAATGCATTAAAGAGTTGACAACTAGTTGCAGTATTCAGTTCTTTTAATTTAGTTAGCATAAACTCTAACTAAATGTCAGCAGTTATAAGGTTCTAACACAATGTCAGCAGTTATAAGGTTTGCATCACGTCAACAAAGCGCTTTTACTGTAATTAGCACGTTTACTAGTTCAGAAACAATTTCATACTAATTATCATTTTTATACATAAATTAAATAGAACCATTAATACTGATATCAACAAGCACCTTTTTTATGCAATTTTTTAACTTATAAAAACTTTCAAGCATTGATAAAAAGCTGCTCCATCTTGTTTTGCAATCTTTGATTAAGTGAAGGTTTTTTCCTATTGTGTGAAGTCATTTTTTACATATTTTTGACATTTAAGACATTCATCATTTTTATTTGGTGATCTTTTAAAAACCATCACAATTTTTCTAACTTCATTAATCACTGAACCAATTGCTTTCTTTGTAATTATTACTTCTTCAATTATTTGATTATCCATTATAAAGCAACTCTCATCACCATCATCATTGCTATCTGATTCGCAGTCTTCACTCATGGCCGTCCCGAAGAGATCTTTCATTCGGGGGGAGGGGAGTGTATGTATTTTTTAGCCAACTAAAAAAACCCAAAAAAAAAAAGGTCCTCAATATTTGCCATTTGCCAACTATAGTTTAAAACTTGCTCAATGTGCCAACTCAAATGCTTATAAGACAGCTTGGACACCCCCTACACCCCCACCCCCATCTGTGGCTTTCACTAAATTCAGATTCATTTTCCAAATTTTCAATATGAGCATTTTCTCGACTAAATATTTATTTCTGCAAATAATTTTATGCTGACATATTATTTTAAACTGAAATAATGGCCAGTTGAATACTGTGAGCAATAGCATACATACTTTCTGGACGATCCCTAATTTAGTTTTAATAATTAAAATTAGTTTCTTACTATTTACTAATAAACAGGCAAGTAATGGTCACAATATATTAAGATTAAACTTGCTTCAAATTTATAAATCAATAATGAAACATTGCATTGCATTGGTTCTAAATTTTATAGCTTTGTAGTTACTTTTGTTTTATTTGACACAATTTAAACACAGGTATTAATCGGTAAACACAAGTATTAATCATAGTTTTATAATTTCTATATCCCGGGATATTTTAAAAGTAATCCCGGAAATTTGGGGTTATAAAATTAGGCAGGATCCCAGGATTTTGGGATCCGGGATTGCAAACCCTAATATATATATAAACATATTTTAAAGAAAAACACAATATTTTTGATTCTTGACATGTTTTGTAGTTAACATACTACATTTTCAAAAGATAAAATTACAATTTGAAACTCTGGATATAAATATAAAATCTAAGTTCTAAATAAATATAAATCTATAGTTTTGGAGAGATCAAACCAAAATCGAAAGCACCTAAGGGTGAATGTGGAGAAACTGAGCACTGACTAGGATCAGAAACAAGAAACAAGTTGTGTAGAGAAGCTAAATGACTTGGATTGTCTGGTATGCGAGTTGAAAAGTTGACTATTTTGGTTAGAGATTGAGCAAGGTAAAGGTTGTGGGCCTTAAAGCCTGCAGAGTCACTGACACTAGAATCAAACCATTCAGTGTGATGAACATTAAAGTTACCAACAACAACAATATTGGCTAAAGGATAAAGAAAAAGGGCTCAGTCAATTTGATCAAAAATAACATCGAAAAGAGTGCAGTCTTAAGATAAAGGAGAATGGTATAGAACAAAGAGAAAGGTGATGAGTGAAGTGGTGCTAAACGAAAGCACATAAGTAATCTCATTATATTTTCATGATGATGTCACAAATTACTCTCACAAAGAGCAAGTAGGTTGGGTGAACTTTGCAAGAGATAAAACTTAGCAGAAGAAAAGATGATTGAGAACTTGGTGATAAAAATGATTTTTTGTGCTTTATAGTTTTTGGTACTTTTTTACTCATTTTTGGATTTGTTAAGAAACTTGACTCAAGTTTAAACTTCTTTGACAACAGTTTGGTGTTGAAAATCATTTGCTTCTTATTCCTTCTCTTCTCTTCTATCTTCAGCCATAGTTTTGTGAATTTGTTGGCTGTTCTTTGAACTTGTTCAATTCTCATCAGCTTTTGTTATTAAAGCTTATACCGGTTTTGTCAGTTTTTGGTGTGGCCTTGCATATGTTCTATAGAGTGTTTTAAGCATTTGTTTTAAGCATGTTTAAGCATGTTTTAAGCATTCTTAAACAGTAATCTTAACATTGTTTTGAGCTATGCTATTGCTGGATTGGCTTTTGCGGCTTCATTTTTTATTTATGCTAACCAATTTAGATTACTTTTCATTAAAATACCAAGATCTTATTTTTGGTTAGAAGATTATAGTAATATGCAACTGTTGTCTCAGTGTTATAAACTTAAATATGATCACATGTTATTGTGTTGATTGGTTTTTTGATTTGCATTTGTTTCTATTTAATTCCATTTAATATTTATTATACAAGTATTTGCCAAATATTTTTTATACAAGTATATAGTGTCAAATCATCAAGATCTAAATTAACTTGTTCTAGGTCATGATGGTTTTTGATAAAATTTATTAATATGCTATTAACAGCAAATAGTTTGAGGGAACACTTAACAACATCAGACTTGTTGTTTTTAAACACTGCAAAAAGTAATGGACCAGCACACCACTTCAAACTTTTAGCCATAGGGAGTAAAAATTGTCAACAAGAACTTTTTGCTTTCTATCTAAAACGAAAAGATTGTATCCAGTTCAGTAGTTTTCTGTTTAAAACATAAGCCTCTAGTTTGATAATTAATGCTTCATGACAGAATTAATCAAAGCTTTTTACAAAGTTGGAATACGTTATAATTCCATAGAATCCATAATTAAGTGCCTCTGATGCAATGTTTACCATTTCTATTAGATTAGTATACTTGAATAGATCACAATTATTCCCTTTTTCTTTGTATATTGGTGTCACATAGGCTTCCTTCCATGTGTCAGGTATTATATTTGTTTTGAATAATAATATTATTAGAAAAGAAATAGACCATGCTAATCTCATGGTACTTTCGCTCAAAACATATGGGCTTATGTCATCTGCACTAATTGCTTTTTGTTTCTTGTTTAGTAAGTACAGTTGCTTCATTAAGATCAAATTGATTGCCTTCACATACCTGGTTAGATCTGATCAGAAATGTAAACCTTGTCCTGCAAACAACTTTGGAAAACTAATAAACAGAATAACATAATAAACAGTTAGCAGATCTGGCTGGAATTTTAGACCAAAGACTAAATTTTTTTTGGTTAGAAGTTTAATGTGTGTTGTGAACCATTACTTTTGCTCTTTGTTTATAAGTTGATATGGTTCTAGTAGATAAGAATTTGGCTAACTCTTCTTTATAGTGAAGGCCAATGAGTTTGTTTATTACATTAAGATTATTTTTGTACTTTTTAAGTTGTTTCTGCCTCTCTACCTCTGCAACTTTACTTTTTTATTGTCACCTCTACTATTATATGCATTTACTCCCAACAAGGCTGCAAGCAACCACTATTAAGTTGGGAGTTACTAGGAAAAAAAAGAACAGAGTTATAGAGCAAGGAAACGGTTGACAGAAGACTTGAAAAGTTGAAGGTTGTATGAGTCAGGAAAACATGAAGATGGGAGAGAGTTCCAAAGGATTGAAGTGCGGGAAAAAAAACTAGATGAATAAAAGTTTTTAGAGCATGCAGGGACAGATACAGTAAACGAATGAGACTTAGCTGAATGAAGAGTAAAACGAGAATGAATTTTAGTTGATGGCACTGTGAACCCCAATCTATTACTGAAGTGAGATCGGATTCAAGATCAGCTGCTTGTTCTAGGCGATCGAAAAGAGAAGACTTTTTGTCAAGACAGGAGTATAAAGTTGAGTCATCAGTAAAAAGAGCTACTTTAGATGAAAGGTTGTCAGGAAGATCGTTTATGTAGATAGGATACAAAACAGGGCCCAAGATGGAATTTTATTGAGCTGCTGAGTGGTGGAAACACTCAGTAATTCAATAAAACTTTTTTTTGCAGATGGTAACTTATGAAATAATAGCCTACTATATTTGCAACATACATCGTAAATACATTTATATATATAGCAGCCCTCGGAATTAGGAAAAATGAGGTTGGCAATAATTTGCCGACTTTAATCTATTAGAGGTCAGCATCAGATCTGCAAAAACAATTTTATGCAAATGTTTTACCACAAAACATAGAAATGAGAAAAGCGATTTTTTGCCAACCTCAAACAATTCTAGGTCTACAGTTAGGTTGGTATTGCAAAATGTCTAATTCTGAGAGCTGATAAAGTATACTTTTTTAATCATGTATTATGTATTTATATTTATATATGTTTTATATATATATATATATATATATATATATATATATATATATATATATATATATATATATATATATATATATTATATATATATATATATATATATATATATATATATATATATAAGTAAAATATATGTATATTTATATATAAAACATGTGTATATATATATATATATATATATATATATATATATATATATATATATATATATTTGTAACATATATATATATATATCTTATTTATATAAATATATATCTTATAAATATAGATATATGCTGTATTTATAAGATATATATTTATATAAATAAGATATATAAATGTTATAGGTATAGTATATTTTTATATATAACATATTTACGTAATATTTATTTATATATTGAGTATATAGTAAATATGTATATATATATATATATATATATACATATATATATATATATATATATATATATATATATATATATATATATATATATATATTGACTTTCTTAATTAACACTATTAAATTTTCTTGCTCTCATTGATCAGCTAATAGTCAAACAAGATTTCAGTCTTATAGCAATTTTAATATTCAATTTTTAGTTAAAATCTGTAAAGATACTGAAGAAAAAAGAAAGTGCTCTGAATATAACAACCGGAAATATTGCAAAGTGTACAAAAACTTTATGAAAGAACGATGCCCTAAAACATGTGGCTTTTGTTCTGAACATGCTAAGCGACCAGGATGTGAAAGCAAGTTTGGTTGCTGTGATGATGGAATTACACCAAAACAAGCTGATGAAATTAAATGTCCTGTATATAAAAGTATTTGTGACATGCCTGTAAATTATGGATCCTGCAACAATAAATTTCAGAGGTTTTACTATGACCATGGCCATAAAGAGTGTAAAACATTTTTTTACAGTGGTTGTCATGGTAATATGAATAATTTCTTATCAAAGGAAGAATGTATTCTGCGTTGTTGGAGTCATATTTCAAATTTAACACTATCTTTGACTACATTTAAAGGAATTATAATAACACCTTCTAATAAATCTTCTGATGTCTACCATCAAACAGATAATAACCCATCAACTTTTGAACCATCAACTTTTGGTGATCAGGATATGTCTAAATTTATGCCAAATACTGCTGATATATTAAATGAAAACATGGGATCAACTTTATTTTTACCATCACTTATAGTAACTACAACAACATCACTTACATCACCTCTAACTCTTGAATCGACAGTTTCCACTGGTCACTGGTCAGCTAATTCAGATTTATCACCTGTAACTTTTGAGCCAACTGCTTCCACTGGTTATAATGAGTTTAGTTCCCTGCCAAATACTGCTAATATACTAAATGAAAACAATGGATCATCTTTGCATTTACCTTTAGAAATTAGTGTTTCTCGAGATTTTAATACAGACACAGCTGCATCACTTTTAGTTACTACTAATACAAATTTATCACCTGTAACATTTAAGCCAACAGCTTCCACTAGTTATGACGAGTTTAGTTCTCTGCCAAATATTGCTAATATAATAAATGAAAACAATGGGTCAACTTTACTTTTACCTTTAGAAATTAGTGTTTCTCAAGATTCTAATACAGACACAGATGCATCACTTGTAGCAACTACTAATACAGATAAATCACCTTTAACTCTTAAATCAACAGTTTCCACTGATCAGGATGAGTTTAATTCTCTGCTAAGTACTGCTAACTTACTAAATGAAAACAATGGATCATCTTTGAATTTACCTTTAGAAGTTAGTATTTCTCAAGATTCTAATACAGACACAGTTGCATCACTTGTAGTAACTGCTAATACAGATTTATCACCTGTAACTCTTAAATCAACAGTTTTCACTGATCAGGATGAGTTTATTTCTCTGCCAAATACTGCAAATATACTAAATGAAAACAATGGATCAGCTTTACTTTTACCTTTAGAAATTAGTGTTTCTCAAAATTCTAATACAGACACAGATGCATCACTTTTAGTTACTACTAGTACAAATTTGCCACCATTAAATTTTGAGCCTACCTCTTCCACTGGTTATGATGAGTTTAATTCTTTGCCAAATACTGCTAATATACTAAATGAAAACAATAGATCAACTTTGTTTCTACCTTTAGAAATCAGTGTTTCTCAAGTTTCTAATACAGACACAGATGCATCACTTGTAGCAACTGCTAATACAGATGCATCACCTCTAACTCTTAAATCAACAGTTTTTACTGATCAGGATGAGTTTAGTTCTCTGCCAAATACTGCAAATATACTAAATGAAAACAATGGATCAGCTTTACTTTTACCTTTAGAAATTAGTGTTTCTCAAAATTCTAATACAGACACAGATGCATCACTTTTAGTTACTACTAGTACAAATTTGCCACCATTAAATTTTGAGCCAACCTCTTCCACTGGTTATGATGAGTTTAGTTCTTTGCCAAATACTGCTAATATACTAAATGAAAACAATAGATCAACTTTGTTTTTACCTTTAGAAATCAGTGTTTCTCAAGTTTCTAATACAGACACAGATGCATCACTTGTAGCAACTACTAATACAGATGCATCACCTCTAACTCTTAAGTCAACAGTTTTCACTGATCAGGATGAGTTTAGTTCTCTGCCAAATACTGCAAATATACTAAATGAAAACAATGGATCAGCTTTACTTTTACCTTTAGAAATCAGTGTTTCTCAAAATTCTAATACAGACACAGATGCATCACTTGTAGCAACTACTAATACAGATGCATCACCTCTAACTCTTAAGTCAACAATTTCCACTGATCGAGATGAGTTTAGTTCTTTGCTAAGTGCTGCTAACATACAAAATGAAAACAATGGATCATCTTTGAATTTACCTTTAGAAGTTCGTATTTCTCAAGATTCTAATACAGACACAGCTGCATCACTTGTAGAAACTGCTAATACAGATTTTTCACCTGTAACTTTTGAGCCAACCTCTTCCACTGGTTATGATGAGTTTAGTTCTCTGCCAAATACTGCTAATATACTAAATGAAAACAATGAATCAACTTTGCATTTACCTTTAGAAATTAGTGCTTCTCAAGATACTAATACAGACACAGCTGCATCACTTTTAGTTACTACTAGTACAAATTTATCACCATTAAATTTTGAGCCAACCTCTTCCACTGGTTATGATGAGTTTAGTTCTTTGCCAAATACTGCAAATATACTAAATGAAAACAATGGATCAGCTTTACTTTTACCTTTAGAAATTAGTGCTTCTCAAAATTCTAATACAGACACAGATGCATCACTTGTAGTAACTGCTAATACAGATGCATCACCTCTAACTCTTAAATCAACAGTTTTTACTGATCAGGATGAGTTTAGTTCTCTGCCAAATACTGCAAATATACTAAATGAAAACAATGGATCAGCTTTACTTTTACCTTTAGAAATTAGTGTTTCTCAAAATTCTAATACAGACACAGATGCATCACTTGTAGTAACTGCTAATACAGATTTATCACCTGTAACTCTTAAATCAACAGTTTTCACTGATCAGGATGAGTTTAGTACTCTGCCAAATACTGCAAATATACTAAATGAAAACAATGGATCAGCTTTACTTTTACCTTTAGAAATTAGTGTTTCTCAAAATTCTAATACAGACACAGATGCATCACTTGTAGCAACTACTAATACAGATGCATCACCTCTAACTCTTAAGTCAACAATTTCCACTGATCGAGATGAGTTTAGTTCTTTGCTAAGTGCTGCTAACATACTAAATGAAAACAATGGATCATTTTTGAATTTACCTTTAGAAGTTCGTATTTCTCAAGATTCTAATACAGACACAGCTGCATCACTTGTAGTAACTGCTAATACAGATTTTTCACCTGTAACTTTTGAGCCAACCTCTTCCACTGGTTATGATGAGTTTAGTTCTCTGCCAAATACTGTTAATATACTAAATGAAAACAATAAATCAACTTTGCATTTACCTTTAGAAATTAGTGCTTCTCAAGATACTAATACAGACACAGTTGCATCACTTGTAGTAATTACTAATACAGATACGTCACCTGCAATTTTTGAACCAACAGCTTCCACTGATCATGACGAGTTTAGTTCTCTGTCAAGTACTGTTAACATATTAAATGAAAACAATGAATCATCTTTGCTTTTGCCTTTAAAAATAAGTGTTTCTCAAGATTCTAATATAGACATAGATGCATCATTTATAGTAACTACTAATACAGATTTATCACCTGTAACTCTTGAGCCTACAGCTTCCACCGATACGTATATCTCTACTATTTTATTAAAAAATTTTGATTTGTCATATGAAAAAACTGAATTGTTAGTGCCATTTACAGCGGTATATAGCAGCATATATTTTAATAAAGCCTTTACAAATATATTAACCGATTTAAATTCATCGTTGTCACCTGAAATCTCTACTAATATGGATTTACCATTTTTCTCTCTTGAACCAACAGCTTCTACATATCAATATGTGTCAACTGCTCTATTAAGAAGTCGTCATATTTCTAGTGAAAATACTGATATCTTTTTACCTAGAAAGATTAGTATTTCTCAAGGATCTATTGGTGAGGATGTTTCTACTGTTTTAACAGCAAGCATAGATTCACAACGTGGTTTTAATAAATCGTCTGTTCCATTAACTACAGAAGTTATGAGTTTTAAAGATTCTCTTTTAAATTCTACAATATCGGCTTCATCATCTACATTTGAAATTTCTACTAAAATTTAGTTTTCATCCTTTGATTCGTTGAATGGCTCTCATAGCAGCAATCGCCGATATAAAATCTTTGTTAACGAAAAAAAATAAAATAAATACAAATAATATTTTAAATAAATTTTTAAAATGTAGTATAAATTTAATTGTGATTTTTACAGCTGAGTTTCTACGGTTAATGTTAACATATATACGGTTAAATATTTAGCTAGTTGATATTAACGCATCTACATTTAAGTGAAACTGTTAAACTAAAATTCCTTTAAAATAAAAGTTTCTCCAATCTATCAATTAACTATCGGGTGGACACGGAAAAATCCGGTCAACTTTAAATTGAGATTTCTCTAAAACCATCAATGCTTTTTATTTCAATTTTTTTATTATTAAATGTGTTTACATAAATTAGAGTTTCAACTTAATTTTAAGGGGCTTGATATGTTACTTGGCAAGAAATCAAACTTTATAGCGGGTTGATGCCATCATTTTACAGATTTTTTCTTTTTTCACCATATTGGTGGCATTAATCCACTTTTTTTGGAAGTCCTTTTTATTATTTGTTAGTCCACTTGTCTTACGAAGAACTCCTTTAACTATTGCCTAAAAATCTTCAATCTTGCGCTCTTCAGGACGATTTAGAGGATTCGCATCTTTAGGAACAGTTTTCACATTATTATCTTTGCACCACTGTAAAACTTTTTTAAAATAGTGAGAGGCAGCAAGATCGGGCCAAAAGAGACATCGGTATTTGTGTTTTTTTATAAAAGGCAAAAGTCTTTTTTGGAGGCATTCTTTGATGTAGAGATTGGCAGTCAAGGTCTTTTTAGTGACAAAACAAGAGGCCTGCATACCACAGCTACAAATTGCTTGCCACACAAGGAACTTAAATGCAAATTTTTCTTGTCAAACATATTTAAATTGATCATCGACAGGTTTATCTTTGTTTTCATAGTAAGACTGTTGACCAGGAAGTTGTGAAAAATCCGCCTTGCAATACGTTTCGTCGTCTTCAATTATGCACATATTTTTATCCGCCATTATTTTAACCAACTTCTTTGCGCGTCGAACTCCTTTAATTTCACAATTTAAGCTTCTCTTAGGTGTATTTTTTTATGAAATGCTTTAATTCCAGCATTTTTAAGTACTTTTTTGATATAAGAACGAGAAGTCTTAAATTTTCTTGCTAGATCTCGCTGTGACTAATTTGGATTTCTTGCTATTGAACGTAAAATCGACTTTACTTTTTTGGATTTATGGAAAGTTTTTTTCCTTTCACTTCCAAGTTTTCTTTCGAAACTTTGAGTAGTCTTGAACTTGTTTATAATATCTATGACTGTAGATTTTAAGACATTTGTGCGTTTAGCAATCAAGCGATAGGAAGTCGATGGATTTTTGCAAAAAAAATTCACAACTTTTTTAGGCACCTCAACTTGTTTCCAAAACATTTTGCAAATTATTAATTTGTAAACAAAAATTTATCAACACCATTTAAGATAAGGAAGTAAGGTTTAATTAAAAAAAAATTAAATAAAAAGCATTTGCGGTTTTGGAGAAATCTCAATATAAAGATGACCGGATTTTTCCGTGTCCACCCGATACAGATTTAATTTTTGATTCAATATTTTCTACCCCAACAGTCCATTTCTATTAAAATGTGCAAATAAGTCGTCTTTTCATGTTTTTTATTCAAAAAATTGTAAATTAAATAATGGACAACTAAGTCGGCTGGTGATATTTAAACAAACCAAAGACGGTAAATTTTTAATTTTTAAAGTGCGTGTAAATTTATTAACTTGCTTATTAATTTATTTACTTTAAATATATTTTTTTATTGACCCCTAAGAAAAAACTTATAATTTAAAAAATGCCTGCCCAAACCAAACCCTCCATCAATATATGTAGACTCTGCTGCGACTATGCTTAGGCTTTTTGGGCATAGGCTATGATATTATTGTTATTATTATTATTATTATTGTTATTATTGTTGTTATTATTGTAATTATTATTATTGCTATTATTATTATTGTTATGGCCGCAAACTACTACATACCATTCGATGTAAGTACACTCAGCAACATCTACGATTACATCCGTTAATTCACCTAAACATTGCACTTATTCAATTTTATAAATTCCTTCCTTAAATTAAAATGAATTCTTTTATAAGCAATATAAAATATGAATTCTTTTATAAGCAATATATATATATATATATATATATATATATATATATATATATATATATATATATATAATATATATATATATTGAGGCGAATTAAGTGATCGCGAATTGAAAGTTCCGTAAAAGTTTCTGGTCTTCAAATTTTGTTTCTCTTGAAAACCATTTTTGCACGTTTTATTCGGACCATTCGTAACAGTTTTACAAATTGGAGTTCATACTTGTAAACGTTTCTGAAGTTTTGTTATTTTTTTAAATTCAATTAAATTTAGGGATTTATTTTGATTATTTTTTAGTTATGTTTATAATTATATTTATAAATTAAAATATGTAAATTATAAAAATATTGTGTTAAGATATAACTTAAATTGATTAGTATCTCGACTTAATAAAATCGTTTCTGAAAGAATCTTTAGCATTTTTACTGATGTAATCTGTAAAAATACCAGCAGCTCGATTAGTTGAGTAACTATTACCAAAATCAACGCCGTTTTTTTTAATTAGCTCAACCAAATCTGGGAAATCGGACAATAGACGTTCTTTTTTTGCCAAGTAGTAAACTGCATTGAATTTCTTCTTAATTGAGTCACGATATTTTAAACCCATTTCTCGTAACCCTTTTTTAATAGTGGTTTTATTTATACATTCTTCAAAACCTTCCGCAACCGATTTACTCTGATAATCGATGAGATGTGCTTCCTTATGTTGTTTACTGTTGTAATGACTTCTAACGCTGTCTTTTTTAATCGACAGAGTTCCAGGGCGAATCCACGAAATAGAAAATTTTTTAAGCTTTTTAATACAAGATTCATATTGCTTGCAAAGCAAGCAGCGTAATCTTACAACATCATTTACCTCGATATCATACTCAAACTTTAAATTAAATTCTTTTTCCCATTTCAAAATAGTATCTAATTTACAATCGATATCTTTAGTTTTTGGTAAGAAAAGTGAGGCCATATTTTTAAATATTTAGTTCACTTTATCTACTACTCTTTCAATTTAATATTTTTTTAACTCTTAATTTTTAAACCTTTTCAATTTGCTCAAAGTTATTGTAAATTGAAACGTCATTTTGCAAATTAAAGCCATACTTATGAAATAGTTTCTTTTACTCTTTAACCCTTTAGTAACATCATAACATTTTTGCAGACATATAATAACTAACCGCCACTAACAATAACAAATAATACTACGCTGGAATATTCTGACAGTGTTATGTATTATAAGCGTTATAAGCAATATTATATTTTGTTTTTTTTAATACATCTTGTTTTTTGGTATCTTTTTTTTTATTCCAATTATTATTTTTTAAATGTATATTTTTAATTATTAATAATATTTTTAATTATATTAAACTGACTGGTGTAAGTATACAACATGGCCACCATGTCCATGAAAGTAGAGAGAAGGGCATATGTTGTCCCGGGACCCGGCTATGTTTAAGGGCCCGTAAAAAAAAAAAGGGAGATTTTTTTTGAGTCAATTCGGCGTTCATGGTGCGTATTTTCAGCCAAGATAGGGTCCGCAAAAAAAA